CTGGGGGGGCCGAGGGCCCTGTGTGTCATGATGGGGGCCTGGGCGTGGCAGGGGTCTGGGAGCAGGGAATCAGAATTGGGCTTTGGGGGAGGTGGGGCCCTGGGGGACTTAGTTCAGGGGTTTGAGTGGGGGGTATGGGAGTTGGGAAGCTGTGTGTTGGGGGAGTGGGGGAACTAAGGGGTAGGTTTGGGGAAATCTGGGGTTAGGGAGTGATTGGATGGGTTCTGAAGGGAGAAGTTGGGGGGGTCTGGCTTTGGGATGAGGGAGGCCTTTAAAACACTTGGAGATGCTGGGGGAGGAAGCGGGACTTAGTTCAGGGGTTTGAGTGGGGGGTATGGGAGTTGGGAAGCTGTGTGTTGGGGGAGTGGGGGAACTAAGGGGTAGGTTTGGGGAAATCTGGGGTTAGGGAGTGATTGGATGGGTTCTGAAGGGAGAAGTTGGGGGGGTCTGGCTTTGGGATGAGGGAGGCCTTTAAAACACTTGGAGATGCTGGGGGAGGAAGCGCTGAAAGACGCTAACGTGTTTTTTTATGGGGGAGGGGAAGTAAGATTTTGTGCTGGGGGCTGGGAGGGGGGATGTGTGCAGCTGCGGTTGAGGGGAGCATCTGTGCAGGAGGGTTGTTTGGGGATAGGGGGAGCATGTGTAAGCAAAGGAGGATTTATGTTCTTTCCAGGTTACCATGGCAACAAGATGCCGTGATTTGCGCCTGACTCTTTTTTCCTAGAGAAGTAACCATTGAGATTGTTTTGTTTTGGTTTCATTGAACTGGTTCCAACAAGGCAAAGAAGTAGAATTTGTTTTGGGAAATAGATTAAAATTGGCTTCCTTGACTATTTTCACCAGCTTTTTAACTGATCCTTACATTTGTGAAAGTTTCACAAATTGTTAGTTTAGACACCACTTAAAGTGGTCGCTTAATCTGATTTTCACTGGTCAGTTGTGATGGCTTTTATGGTTTTAAAATGCCCTAAAACAGCTCCAGGGCAGTTCAGAAGTATTACATGAGGACTTTGTATAATGAGGCTGTATGGAAACATGCAGAGAGAAAGAATGAGTTTGCTCTACTCAATGGAAAAAGCTCATGAACAAAGCTCCAGAGAACCTAGGGTCGGTACCACCTGTTAGCTTTAAATGAGCAATTTGGGATAATCCAAAATGAGCCTATAGAAGTGAGTGAAGCCTATGAAAAGGTGTAAAATTACGTATTATTTCTATAGCATCGTAGCTACATGTGGTGCTTTGCCGATCAGTACAAGAATCACTTGATGATTACCTGTTCTGTTCATTGCCCCTGAAGCACCTGGCATTGGCCACTATCAGAAGATAAGACACTGGGCTAAATGGACCTTTGGTCTGATCCGATATGGCCATTCTTATGAAGGAATATTTTTGTCCTCCTTCAGACCTACTTCTTCCATGAAACTTACTAGCCAACTATCTGGAAATAAATTGAGGGACAATCGGGTATAGTTGATGTGGGTTTATGGACTTCTAATTAAAAATATGCATTTGTGAAAATGGTACATGCTTTCGCCCCAATCTTCCTATCTCCTTCAGTAGGACTCTGTGTAGGTCTCCGGGGTCTGTCCATGTGGATCTGATTACAGGACTGTATCGTTCAGTCCCATATTTCTTATGGTGCTGGCCTTCTTGGTCTTGCTCCTGCAGCTGTATCCATGTTTGTGACTGCATGGAGCCCAGGTGTCAGGCTAAGTTTTCTTAGGTAGGGACGGTGTCTTTCTAGCCATGTTTAGCACAATGTGAAACAATTGCAATCCTATTTGTCACTAAAGTAATAGTCCAATGAGTTTATCAGCTGATCTTGTAGGACCAGTTTCACCCCAGATAGGAATTTAAACTAGTTTAGATAAGCTGGTGTAAAGACCCAACGTGGACATCCTGATTTCAGTTTGAGTGACTTTGTTTTTAGTTTGGTTGAAGCTGCTTGGAAATCAGATTAATAAATTCAACTGAAATGAGAATGTCCATGTAGGGATTTGTACTAGCTTGATTAAACAAGTCACCATGAAATTCACACCTGAGGTTAAACTGGGGCCCCTTTCCCGTCTAGACAAAGCCTTGGATCTGGTAGAAAGGAGGGTGCAGGGGATTCTACCAGGCATCGGAACATGCGTTGTCAAGACTTGGTTTGCACATAGCACAAGGTGTAATATACAATATCCGGCTCCTACAGCGTGTAGTCAGCCTGTGGAACTCCTTGCCAGAGGAGGCTTTGAAGACTAGGACTATAACAGAGTTTAAAGAGAAGCTAGATAATTTCCTGGAGATTAGGTCCATAAAAGACTATTAGCCAGGGGATAGAATTGGTGTCCCTGGCCTCTGTTTGTCAGAGGCTGGAGAGGGATGGCAGGAGACAAATCGCTTGATCATTGTCTTCGGTCCACCCTCTCTGGGGCAACTGGTGCTGGCCACTGTCGGCAGACAGGCTACTGGGCTAGATGGACCTTTGGTCTGACTCAGTACGGCCGTTCTTATGTTGTAAAAAAAAAAAAATTAATGGAGAGTGCCTCTCTCCTAGAGCTGGAAGGGACCTTGAAAGGTCATCAAGTCCAGTCCCCTTCCTTCACAGCAGGACCAAGTACCATCATCCCTGACCAACTTTTGCCCCAAATAGCCTCTGCAAGGATTGAACTCACAACCCTGGATTTAGCAGGCCAATGCTCAAACCAATGCTCAAATCCATTTCAATGAACAGCTAGTCCATTTGATTGCTGGCTGCAAAAATGCAGCCCAGGGCAAACTTGCCCCAAGTGAGATGTAAAGGACACGGTTCTAATCTCGGTAAGGAACCAGATTCTCGGTCTCTGCCAGATGCTTCCCAGGAAAGCCGGAAGTGTGAGAGTGCCTAGGAAAGCTGGAAGAACCTTGGAGCCGGCAGTTGGGCTTTTCCGAAGCATCAGAAATGGCTCCTGTTAAAATCAACCACATTGTGTCCTTCACGTCTCAGGTACAAATGCTTTTCATCTGCGACTGCGGTTCGTGGGTGCTATGTTTTGCTGCAGCGCACCCTAGTGCTGTGAGATCCTTGGATGGAAGGCCCGAAAGAAGGGAGGGTCTGATCTTTGCTTGGGATAAATCAACATTGGTCCATACTTCCCCACTGTCCACCAGCTGAGGCTCCAGCCCGGAAAGGGCTGTGAATTGGATGCAGCGTTCTTCCTGCCCTGAACTGCTGAATGGGGTGTCTGTGTGCTGTTAAACATCTGCCATGCTTCACCCCAGAAGTGGCCGCATTTCCGCAGTGGGCAAGGGTCTGACCTTTGTGTAAAATCTGGTATTGTGCTTCCAGGTCATTCCCTGAGAAGAGTCACTATTGCTGCCCCCCTCCGCTTCTATTCCCACCCCTCCACTAAGCACTTCTGCCCTCTCCCTTCCCCTCCGGTTTGGTGCAGGACCCCAGGTACCCCGTGGAGAATCTGCTGCGTGAGGACGACATTCGCCCTTGGTTGAGCTGCCCCCAGGATCGGAGCAGGCAGCTGAAGGTGGAGCTGCAGCTGGAACGGGCTAGCTCCATCGGCTACATGGACATAGGTATGAGAGGGAGAAACCGAGACCCCTGGGGGGGTAGCCTAAGCTCCCTATCTCTCTGGGGTCTCCTGTAATGCTACTGTGATTGTCTCAGCACTTCGTGTGTTCTGAAGAGCCCAGAGGTGTCTAGCTCCTGCCCTGTGCCCCCGTGATCATGCTGTTCGCCTGTCTCTTGTCCCGGCAACTCTGTTTTACTGAGGGAGAAACTGAGGCTCGGTGAGGGCAGGTGACTTGCCTGCGTGAGGCAGCACAGAGTGGGGCAGTCGCCTGGCTCCAGGGGATAGTCTCCCTGGTAGCAAAAGGCTCACTCTGCTTCTCGTGCCAGCGGGTGAATTCAGGTCAGTGTCACACGCTGGGATACTGATCCCTGGGGGGCAAATTAAACCAGGATCTTCTCGAAGCTGCCTGGCAGGCCCCTGTGGGTGCACCCAGCAGAGAGCGCATGGGCCACGGAGGCCGACGGACCTGGCTCCTTTCCTGTTGTGCCCAGTGGTTCCCCACTCAGCCCATGGGGGGGCCCCCGTATCGGTGCCCAGGTGGCCGATCCATTTCACCGCCGCTCAGGGAGGTTCGGCTGGGCGGGGGCTGACCC